TTTTTTAAAAAAAAAAAAAAAAAAAAAAAAAAAAAAAAAAACAGGAGATTGACAAGAGAGCCACCGATGGAATTCGCAGCCTGTAGAGGAAACAGCTGGCTGCAGAACAATTCAAAGTAATCTCGCGTTTGCATAACTTTCTTTTTTCTACGATGCAGTCGAGTGACATCGCCATTCACGGGCAACCTGCCGCTCGTTACCGATGCAACCTTTTCGGCCACCGTTTCGACACACTTTCTGTTCCCCTTCTGCGGATTCTCGTTTCGCCGCGAACGAAAAACTGCACTCGTCGAAACAATATCATCGGTACGAAATCATTTGCAAACGAGGGGACATCGTTCCCGGCAGAATTTCGGGCGAATCGAGTACGAATGAGACGAAGCATCGAATTGAAATCGAACTCGTCAGATAAATAATTCAATAATAATAATAATGATGATGATGATGATATTAAATTAAATATATATAAATGTACATATAATTTATATTTATATATAGTAGTAATGATAATAATAATCTCGTGAGGTAAATAATTTATTAATTTGTTAAAATTGTTGAGTTCGAGTGGATAATTTACACGATTTGTCTCAAAAAAAAAAAAAAGAAATTTATGTACGTGTACATTCTTTAGTAAGGAGCAAGGCATGCATGCACGTGACACTTGTAACTGATGCCATTGAATATCGAGAGCTATGAGACTTTAGGTTTAGATTAGGTTTTTATCCCCTTCCAAATCAACATCAAGTTTTGTGTCAACTTAATATTAATATCTTATTATCTCTTATTCTTGAATATAAATTTATCTCTTACTATTAAATATAATATTATAATTAACTATAATATTAACTATATTATAGTATTATAGTTATATATATTATATTATTATATTATAGTGTAGTATTATAGTATAATATTAACTATAATACTTACTATTAAATATAATGCCTACTAATTAAATATTAGTACCTTATTTATTATCTTATTTGTTACAATGTTGTCACGCGATCGCTGTCAATTCACTTGCACACGCTAAACTGTGGATAAGAACACAATCGTTGCCCCCGCGTTTCGTCGACAATATCCAAAGACCTGCATTTTTATTAAATTCGATGCACTTTGTTCAGCATCCTCAACAACAATATCATCCCTTATTTGCTGAAAGGCAAATATTACTCCACGAAATTAGTAGATCCGTCACATGTGTGTGTGTGTGTGTGAATAATTTCGCCCGAGCGAGCGAGCGATGTTGTCGATCAACGCATCCCGATCCCTCGTGGATCGAGCGACGACGGATGATCGGCTGGAGATCGGCTCGATCGAGTAGCTCGCGAGCGTAGAGAAAGCGAGAGACTGAATGTCCGAACATCACGTTCCACGTATAAAGCGTACGTTCTCGTACAGTACCACCACCTTTGATCCTCCACCAACAAACAAAAGCTTCGCCTCGTATTTGTATCTTAGTTGTATCTACCACTACGTCCTGCCCCCACCCCCTCCCCCCTCGACACTCGAAGAGCGTAATAGCATATTAATCGAGTATGTTTTGGAGCAAACTTGATCGTCCAAGTCGTGCAATTGAAAATATCGATCGAGGGATTAATAGGGAATTAATATTCGATTTATTGCCATTTGAGATGTGACACATCGCGTGTTAACCGTGTATTATAGTATTGAATAATATTGAATGATATTTAATTTAATAATGTGTGTAATTCATTGGCCGTCAAACAATAAATATCTGTGTTCAACTATGTATGATATATTTTTATATATATTGTGATGTTGTGGTAAAAGAAATTAATTTAATAATATAAGAACGATTAATCGAATAATATTATATAATATAATATATTGTAAAATATATAGCTCTTATAATATAATATAATATAATATATTGTAAAATATATAGCTCTTATATTATTAAAATTGAATTATTATTTAATTTAATATTAAAATTAAATTAAATTTAATATTATATTATCATTTAATTTAATATTAAAATTAAATTTAATATTATATTATTATTTAATTTAATATTAAAATTAAATTTAATTTAATATTATATTATCATTTAATTTAATATTAAAATTAAATTTAATTTAATATTATATTATTATTTAATTTAATAGTTGAATAATTTAATGAAATATAACATATGTAATTCTTGAATTTGATTGACTAACAAATATAATTCTCACATTATAATGTAATATACTGTATGTTTTAGAGATTTGAACAAAAATTAGAGATTCCAGATAATTTCATCATTGATAAACTGGTGTCCTTCTTTACTCTTATGCTCTTGTACATATATATTTTATTTAATCCTCATTTTAATCCTCGAACTCAGAAATGACCGTAATGATTATATTTTTAATAAAAAAAAGAAATGTTACTTTTAGTAGTATTTTATATCATCACTGATAGAGATTGCTCGAAAATTTTGAGCAATTTTGTGTGGATAAAAGCTATCAATTATTATAGTGATTCCTCAAGTTTCGTAAATTTACGATGCGTTCCTAGAAATTTCAATGATAGAACGTTCATTCATATAATTTTCACTATGAAAAATTCACACCTTCTCTCATCTTCATCGTTGGTAAATCGTTTCGCAATGGCGCTGTTGTATAATTTTTTGATTTCATTTTCGGGGTACCGCGGAGTAGAGAATCCGATTTTCACGATTTCGCAGCCGATCGACGAGTTTTAATCGAGATTCTGGTTATGTGGACACTCTGACGAAATCATTTACGTCACACGCTATACATGTCTGATTTTAATCTATCGAATTTCAACTATCTCCATCAGCCATTCGTGTTGTTACACATTGTTATTATTTTTTATTATGTTTATATTGTTCCATGTTCCAAATTTTCGAGGAGGAAATAAATATTCGATGAAATAGGTTTATTTAGCAGCTGAGGACGTTTCAGAGATTTCAAGGTCAATTTAATTTCCTTTTAAATGGAACTGTGTCTTTTTCTTTTTTTACAAGTCAATCGATGCATCTTTTTATTCTTTGTAAAAAAAAAAAGAGTATTGATCTTTTAATGTTATAAATTTTATAAAATTGTAAATTTTAAATATATTTCTAAGAATATAAAATCATGACTTTACAAAGAATGAGAAGTCTACCGGTAAATTAATTCTTTTTAATTAATTAATGTTATCGAGTACGATTTTTTGGTATAAATTTTTAATAAACTCGCTTCTTAAACGGGTTAATGCATTGACAATTGTGTTGCAAAATATTCGAACGATTTAAAAATTGTACATAAAAATGTACACAACTGTGTGCGTACAATAAACTATTGCTAGAAATAAAATTTATGCACACATTATGTGTAAATAAATATTAAAAATTCATTACATGTTTTGCATAATGCGTGTAAATTTCCTTCAATAATACATTGACAACTGTATTATATTGTAAATTGTACGTGATAATAAATACTGAACGTTAAAAGTGAAATTCACACACATCATACAAATTGCGTGCAACTAAATAAATATCAAAAATAAAATTTATACGTACAATGTACAAAATCTTTTTAATGATTTAATGCGATTGGCAACTGCATTATAAAATACAAATTAATAGCGACAGATAGAACAACAGTAATAAATTTAAGAATCGCATACTATGACAAGTACTGAAATTTATACACCGTGTAACTATAATTCGTAAAACACACCTGTGTGTCTACATAAAACAGAGATCACGTCCGATCTCGGTTGTTTTTTTTCTCTCGTAAAGAGTCAGCGAAGCAGAAAAGGCAGGGAAAAAAGAGCGATGATCTCGAGGACAAATAATACCCTTGCATTTCCCTCTAGTCACCCCCCCCTTTTTTATTATAGCTCGTGTTGTCCACTACACTCGGCTTTTAATACTTTAGTAGTATTTTCACTTTCGCCCGGGCGATTTTGAAATCGCCTCTCGGCCAGGTTGCCTTTTCACTCCAGTTCCACGATATAGCGCCGCGTTCGTATATACATGCTACGTACCGCGTGTCCGAAAAATTGGGAAACACCCTTTGAGTGAAAGTTTTTCGTTCTTATGTGGCTCGTCGGTTATATAGTAACTGGTCGCGATCGCGTAACCGCGTTTGATGCTGAA